AAGTTTTAGTCGTTTTTGATTTGTGAAAAAAAAAACAAAGCATCTACAATCAGAATACAAATAATTTATAATTTATCTACAAAATATCTACAAAATGGGTACATTGAATTTTAATATCTCAATTCCCATTCGATTGTAGTTTAATTAGAATTTTCGACATAATTGCGTTTTTTGCAAAAGATTCGTAGAAGTTTTAGTCGTTTTTGATTTGTGAAAACAAAAAATAAAGTATCTACAATCATAATACAAATAATCTACAATTCATCTACAAAATATCTACAAACTGGGTATATTGAATTTTAATATCTCAATTCTCACTCGATTGTAGTTTAATTGGGATTTTTGACTAGACATAATCTTAAAGATCCATTATAGTATTCTCAATTATAGATTGAGGGAAATATGTTAGAAAGCTACATCAACTACTTTGTCGAGTTTGAAAAATACTACCTAGTGGCATCAACTATTAGATTTGTCAACTTATTATTTTTTATGGAAAAAAATATAACGATATTTTCAGCTACAAGTTTAAGTGAGACTATAAGCAAAAAGATTAGGTGAAAATAGGAACAATTTTCAAAAGTCGGTCTCATACTCTGTCTCTCTGATTATTCACGTCATTTGATCTCTCAAAGATAAAAAAAAATAGAGATATCTAAATAAGGAATTTAATGCTACAATGATTCCTTATTTAATAAAATATCTGGAAGAATATTTACTTCTATAATTGTAGCGCGCCTAAATAGGAATATCTGGAAGAATGTTTAGTTCTAGATTTGTAGTGCGCCTATTTAGGAAGGAATTAGCTCCTAATAATTGGTATTTAATGAATGGTATAATATTTGTAGAATAATTGTGAACATGACGAGTAAATATGAAACTATGCACATTTTTTGTAATAAGGTTTCATATATGGTATAGGAAGGAAAAAGTCCCTTTTCACAAAAATAGAAAAATTGCTTCTGCTCAAAAACACTTTTCTGTTTTGGCCAAACACCTCATATTTCCAAATAAGTACTTTTTTTGACAAAAAATCACTTTTGGCCTCCTAAAAGCTTGTTCAAACTGGCTCTTAATATAAATATCTAAATTTTGACCCTCCACCGTGTCTTCTCTAAGTTTTCTCTTTTTAGTCCTCTCTTGCCCCAAACTTGCTCACTCTCCGTTTAGTAGTTTTTCAAATTTCTCGAAAAATTTAACATTTAAATTTTTTTGACAGAAAGGTTATTTTTTCCAAAAAAAAATAAAAAATACTATCAAACAAACACAACTTCAAAACTTGAGAGAACTTTGGTCAAAATTTCTCTCACCTAATCTCTAAATATTCTTTATTGAAAACATATCAACCGATGCATATATACAAAATTGTAGGATCTGAAGTTAGGCTTTGCCAAAGTTTAAATTAAGAAAGAATGAGGTTCTGACAGAGCCTAACTTCAGACTCCAAGGACTGAATCTTGAAATTTCAGACCGACAATTCCAACATTAGAGTCTGAAGTTAATTATTAAATGATTAAACTTCAAAATCGTCGGGTCCAACCCGTTGATATCAAGATATTATATGTTTTGCACTTATTAGTTTGATGTTTAAAAAATATTAGGTGTGGATAAATTTTTTAGTATTACATTTAAGTGGTCTTTTCTTTAATTTATTATTTTCCTGTTTTCTTTGGAAATCAAATAGTAATTTATAGGACAAGAAACAACAATTAATTGAAAAATATCGCAATTCACGAGGAAAGGAAAGAAATTATAAAGACTGCTACTCTATGATCCTTCTACATAAATTATAAATTGCAGGAATTTCTGAATTCTGAAATTGAGCTCTTATTAACTGCCCCTCAAATTTCACTCTCTTCCCTCTTGTTGGTTGTTTGAATTTTTTTGAAGAATTCATAAGTTTTTTGGTTATAATTCAATTCCCCCCACAACAAGATATACTCCATTAAAAATGAAAAACTAAAAGTCCAATTGTCATTGAACTATTTATTTAAAAACTTACCCAAAAGTCACATTTTATGTGAAAACCTGTAGTTTTGTAGTTCGTGTACTAATTTTATTTGTCGTTTGATTTAAATATTAAATGAATTATAATCCTAATCATCCTTTAAATATTAGGTCATTTTTTACTAGCTTTCTATGTGACATTCTGCTTAATTCGAGTCATCATTAAAACGTTTGGTCATTTTTTACCCGATCCTTCTATTTTATGTTCAGCGTACTAATCTTCTGTATGAATCGATATTATTCCATTCGAAATAGGATAGTACTTTGTACACCGGTAGGGGTGTTCATGGTTCGGTTTGATCGGTTTTTGATTAAAATTAAAATCAAACCAATTTAATCCGTTTTTAAAATTTTAATACCAAAACCAAACCAAATTAAATACAAACCATCGGTTTGGTTGTCATTGGTTTGGTTCGATTTGGTTCGGTTTTTCGATTCGTAGTAAGCTAATAATAAATCGATAATAGTGAAACAACACTAGACAATAATCTGAAAATAATTTACTAAATTTATACTTTTTTATATATTTCTTTCGGAACTGAAAGTTTATTTACCTCTTTATATAAAAAGAATGAACAAAAAAATAATTAAAAGTTTGATTTCTCAAGCTTTAGCCACTGTAATCTTGCAATTTGAGTTTGCTTTCTTTACTCTTATGGTAGAATTTTTTTTAACTCTTTTGTTAGGCAAAAGTATGTGCGGAGGGTTAGAGAATTAAAGTCTCTTAAGGAAAAGAAAATTGGCCGATTCCTATTGTTTTGGGCTTAGGCAATCTTTTAAGATATAAGTAGGATAAACCAAAATTCAAAATAACAAATTACATAAAATATTTAAAATTATTTAGAAAAAGATATTAAATTGTATATAAATAATTATTAAATTTTTTATATAATTAATCAGTTTGGTTCTGTTTAATTTTCGATTTTTTATAATAGAACCAAAACCAAACCAAATATTATCGGTTTTTAAAATTTAAAACCAAAACCAATCCAAATCAAAAAAAAAATATCGATTTACTTAATCGGTTTGGTTTGGTTTTCGATTTGGATCGGTTTTCCGTCAAACCGTGAACAGCCCTATACACCGGGTTCTCCTTTTTTATCCTAAAACCAAAGGTGACAAAATAAAAACGGAAAAGGGTCAAATAGACCCTTATACTATGAGAAAAGGTTTAAAAATACCATCGTTATACTTTGAGTTCAAATATACCCTTGCCGTAATACGGGAAAGAGGTTAAATGGGTTAGGGGCACTGAGTGACATGCCACGTGGCATTCACCTCATCAAATATCAGTGCCACATAGGATTGGATTTTCGCATTGGGCAAACTTAGCGGAAGAGAGGTATATTTAAACTAATAATATTACGACAACGATATATTTAAACCCAAAATATAACGAGAGGTATATTTAATTTTTTTTATAGTACACGAGTATATTTGGCCTTTTTTCCGAAATAAAAAAGAGGTGAGGAAGTGAAAGTGAACCAAGTGTAAGTTGAGGGAGTGAAACAGTTGAGCAACCAAATCCAGAGAATAAAAAGGCGATAAATGAGCATAGCTGGACTCAAATGGATTTTGGGGACCCATCAGAATTTAAGTCTATAATTGAGAATAGGGTGCGGTAAAATTTATATGCCTCACGAGATTCTTGGTTCCTTTTAATTTTCTAAATGCCTAACTATATTTTCTTCTTTTTATATATAGATAAAATAGGCTGGGTGGTGATACGAGTACGCTTAATAATTACAGTCAAATCTTTCTATGACAGCGTCGTTTATTCCATAATTTTTTAGTTGCTATAGTGAAGTGCTGTTATAAATGACATATATTACAACATAATATAATATTCGATTCCGAGAAAAACTTGGTTTTTAAAGTGAATGACTATTATATAGAGATGCTGTTATAGAGAGATCCAACTGTACATCATCATTCTTATTTTAGACAAATTTAGAGCCCGTTTGGACATAAGAATTTTTTTTTCCTTTCTCCAAAAAAAATTCACTTTTTTCGAAATCAGCGTTTGTTCATAAAATTTCCAATTTCCACTTGAAGATGCATTTTGAAAATTTTCGAAAATTTGAAAAACTCCAAAAAACTATTTTTCAAAATTTTCACTCAAATCACTCACAAAACTTCAAAAACAACCCAAAATTAGGGGTGTACCAAAGAAACCGACAAACCGCACCAACCCGATAATCCGAGTCAAACCGAGAAAAAAAATCCAACTATGGTTTGGTGTTGGAAAAAACCCCGACCATAATTGGTTTGGTTTGGTTTTAATTAAAGAAAGTCAAACCGAAATCAAACCAACCCGATAGTACATATATAGATTTTTTAGATGTATTTAATATATAAATATACTTATTATGATGTAATTTATAAATATTTCTTAAAAAAATTCATAATTTTATCTTTTAAGGTATTATTACAAGGTTGGACTTAGAAATTTTGAATGTTCCAATAAGTTTTATAGCCATTAACATTAGTAATTTAAATAATGCTAACAAAAGCCCAAACTAAAATCAAATCAATAGTAATGCTAATAAAAAATATTTAATTCAATACTACGAACGGGAATATATTGAATATCCATTTTTTATTTTGCAATAATTCAGATAAAAATGGATAACCTATTTTTATTTTTTCTTTAGCGTTTAGTCATGTAATTAATACTCCCTTATTTTTTTTGGTTAAATGCTTAAACTTTATTTAACCAAGTAAGAATATTTACATCCGCTAGTTCTTTTTTGACTCTAGAACTAGATTCTATCTATTACACTATCTGAAAACTCTCAGCTATCACTTTCTGTATGCACAGCTATCCTTCAATTACTTTAATCTTTCTATATTATACTAGGATAATTCTTCAGTCTTGCTAATTCTTTCTGCCATTTTCTTTCGTTCTGTCCAGACAAGTGCAGTTCCAGCACTATGTTTTTTATTCTTTGCCTGCCTTCTACTGCTTCTCCTCAGAATCTTCTATTGTTCATTTATGTCCAAACATGATACACCATGGCTGTGAACAGGAACACGAGCACTTCTCCACGAGCTTTGCTTGTATTTATGCTTTTCAGCCATCTAATCTTCTCATCCCAATTACCAATCTGATGGGTTTCATTTAGCCAATGTAACAATTTAGACCATATTGTTTTGGCATAACTGCATCCAAACCATAAATGCTCCATTGACTTTTCCTCATTTGTATCACATAATACACATTCATTATCAACTATACTGCCCCATCTTCTTAGCCTGTCCACTGTGGCTACTCTCCTGTAAAGTGCTAACCAAAGAATAAATCTATACTTTGGTATTGCTTTTGATCCTGTTGTAATCTTCTTCCACCAAATCTTCTGGAACTGAGGTCTCATTACAATGTATAACTTTTTGATGTTAAACTTGCCATTTCTATGGTATTGCTCCAACTTATTTCTTGAATGCTTTTTCAGAAACCATTGCCTAGTATCAAAGATTTTCTTTACAATCCAACATGCTTGTTTAGGAGTGTCCATTACCATAACATATTTCTCTTTGACATAATAACTATGGACCCATTGAATCCATAATGTATCTTTCTTTGCACTAATGGCCCATAACAGTTTGCACAATGCAGTTTTGTTCCGTGAATAAATGTCCAGAATATTTAACCCCTGCTGATAATGGCATACATATTGTGTCCTATGCTACCAATGCTCTCCTTGATAGATCACTTTTTCTTGTCCACAAAAAAGTTCTACACACAGCAACTATCATTTTGAGTATCTTCTTTGGCAATAAAAATACTTGTGCCCAGTAAGTTTGCATCTCGAATATCACACTTTTCAATAATTGGAGTCTTCCACTATATGATAACAACTTAGTTGTCTAGCAGTTTATCCTAGCTATTATCTTTTCAATCAAGGGCATACACTGGTGCACTGGCAACTTCTTTGAAGAAAGTGGAACACCAAGATACCGAAATGGTAATTCCCTTAATGTGAACTGCATTTCTTCCAGTATCATCTCCTTGAATTCCTTTGTAACTCCTGCAATGTATAGAGCACTTTTCTCCAGATTGGCCTTCAACCCTGATACCTCTGAGAAGTGATTGAAACTTTTGAGCAACAATTTGATAGACACCTCATCTGCTCTGTAACAAAGAATTAAATCATCTGCAAAGCAAATGTGAGTAATATTATTTCTGGAACACCTTGAATGATGATTGAAGTCTGGGTTGTCTTTTAACTTCTTTAGAGCCCTATTCAGATATTTCATCACAAGCACAAAAAGGTAAGGAGACATTGGGTCTCCTTGCCTTAGCCTTTTCTTCCCTTGAAATCTGTTTGTTAACCCTCCATTAAGGATCAGAGAATAGCTAACAGTAGATACACAAACCATAATCAGCTCCACAAACTTTACATGCATACCATACTCTATCAATATCATTCTAAGAAAAGGCCATTCGACTGAGTCATAGGCTTTCTTTATATCTATTTTGATACAACATCTTGGCGACATTCTCTTTTTATTGTACCCTTTTACCAACTCATGTGCTATGATCACACTGTCCAGTATGTTCCTTCATTCGATAAAAGCTGACTGGGATTCTCCTACAATTGAGTCCACTAACAATTTCAGTTTTGCTGTGAGAATTCTTGATATGATCTTGTATATAGTTGTGCAGCATGCAGTAAGTCTAAACTCTTTGACTGAATTTGGGCTGACCACCTTTGGAATCAGTGTTAAAGTTGTACAGTTAACACTCTTCAACAACTTCCCATTGCTAAAGAATTCTAATACAGCTGTTCTGACCTCATCACCAATTGTAGACCAATATTCCTTAAGAATTTCTGCAGGAAAACCATCTATCCCTGGTGCTTGTAAGCACGTGATTTTTGACCCTCCCCGGGAATTTTTACGTTCTTAAGCTTAAATATCT